CACTCAATCATTTAAAAAAATTGACAAAATAAAAAACTACTGTCAATCAATATATAGTAGATGTGTCTATGGTATTCAATTATGAAAATGTGCTTTTGGCTGTGTTCTATAGGAGTGTGAAAGACATAATAAGAAAAACAGACAAGTTTCTGTTCTAATAATCTGTTCTCCTTTGATAGGCAGCTATGGGAACATATTTACTTTCTGACTTATACCCAGCTAAATATGTAGCATTTTTAGATTATCTTTTCAAATTGTTCTTGAACATTCTCAGTTAAAAAAGAAAGAAAAAAAAAACAACCTCCTTTCATGTTAAGTTGAGATTGCACTTGAACTCTTTCCAAAAGCCAGAGCTGTACTGAATTATGATAATTAGAAAGCTGTGCGCATAAAAGGCAGCACAGTTGATGCATTTAAAAAAGTTCATGCCAGAGAATATAAGTTCAATATGTTCTCACATAATTAACATTTCCCATCATTAGCAGCAGTTTTCAGTTCATGTATCTGTAAAAACAACAGCACTCGTCATTGTTTTAGATTCCCAGTCAATAGCATTTTAATAGTTTTACACATAATCCTAGACTTTCCTTCCCTTCCCCCTCCCAGCACGCTGAGATTTCACATTCTACCTCCTGACCTGCTAGCAAATAAACTTGTATTCTGTGCTCACACGCTCCTGCTGCTGCCCAGACTGACTCTGACCCAAAAGTTTAGTGAAAAGCTACTAGGAGCTGGAAACCCAAGAAGGCCATTTGCAAAGGTACAACAGGATGCTGAGGGAATAATCACGTTGTTCCGGTAAACAATGAGCAGAAGACAATGAACAAAAAGTTGTAGGTGATACCTTCGGCTGGACGGGAGCCAAACTCAGACGGGGCTGGCTCTGACAAACCAGGCACAGGCTGGAGGGACGAGGAAAAGAGGTCACAGCCCTGCGCCAACCGGGCAAGTGTCTGCAAACCCTTTAGGCACTCCACGGATTTTCATCGCGTTCTCGACGTATGTGCAAAAATTCATCTAACAAATAAGGGTATGTAGCACATGATGCGTTACTCTTTGAGACATTCATAGACTTCCTGGGTAGAGTGTCTCAAATGAGTTGTTACGAGACAGATTTTGACTTCAATCCCTCTATTTGAAAATTAATATAGTTCTGGTGGAACGTTAATAAGCTGATATAGTATAAAAGTTGCTGAATCTGCATCAACACAGTGAGAAATTTTGGCTTTACCAATAACGAGATAAACCAGTGACTGCAGCGGGATCAGGATTTCATACAAAAACAGGAGAAGTTTGGTGTATTAAATCAGAAAACTTGTAGCTGAATTTTATGTGACAGATCTGAGGATCAGATTTGAAGATGCTGCCTCAAAGGACTGAAGTCTGCAACTTTTCACTCTCTTCTGTTTTGGAAATGAGCAATCGTTAAAACCAAGCACAGAATTATTCCAGGAAATATTATTCCATCCTTGTTCCACTTGCAAAAGTCAAAAAGAGTTTTGTGCAAGAACAGAGAGCAAGATATGGTAATAAAGTGGGAATTTATTGCAGAGATTTTTCTTCTAAAACTGTGTCTTCATCATGGCTTAGAGTCGGTTGGCTTTACAATAAATAATGCCATTAATCAGTTCATATATCACAGGATGCAATTTAAATTATACGGTACTTGCATAAACTATCACAAACCCTCTAGCAGCCCTTGCTTTCAGGGAGATGATTTACCTCTTCAAAGTTCTAAAATTTTGTTGAGAACCCATTTAAATTATTTTTTAATAGTAAATGACTGTAGTTTAGGAATACAAAACATTCCTACTTGTGGCAAGCGCTAATGGCAAAGTGCAACATGGTGGCAAAACCATAATTAAATCTCAAATCCCAGAAATAAGTACTATTTCTCCCATGAAAAAGTAGGTCCCTTTGATCAACTGGGGACTTCAAAATCATTTCCAAAGGGTCAATTTGCACCCTCATTACAGCCAACGTAATATGCCACCTTGCAACAGGCCATATGAAGCTGATGGAATTAATCTGAATTCAGACCAGATTTCTAAAAAGTCAGCCCTCACTTCATATTTACACATGCTATGAATAAGGGTACAAATGGAATGAGTGATCAACTGTTAATAGAAATTTGCCTTCAAGTTTTAGAGAGATTACAAGCAAATCAGAACATAAGCCCCGTGCAAAAATTTGAAAAAGTATGTGTGTCAAACTGACAATCATTTTAATCAAAGATGTCCTTCTTTAGACATCAGATATCATTCTAACCACGTACATAAAGCCTATGCTGTAAATATCTTAGTATTTGATCCAGCAAATGTTTATTCCTATGAGTCATCCCGGTCACTTTAACCTGAGTAAGGATTGGATCCAGCAAACATTTTCTCCTTAAATAAAGGAATCACTATAGAAAGACAGATTTTAAACCACCTCTGGAAAGATATAGCATTAATATTAGAGTTATGAAGAAATACCAGACAGAAAGAGGGATGTATGCATGTGTATACACAGTCAGAGGACGTGAGTTCATAACATGTTTGAAGGTAACCTTCTCCCAAATACACACATTCAGAACTGTACACAAAATCTTCATGTTTTGGAAACGGTCTTAGGCACCTTCTAATAAAATCAGATTACTTCTAGTGAAATCCTTCCAACAGTGTAACTATCCTACTTTATAGATTGAAAACTGACAGCTATATCATAATACACAACTACATATTTTTACCTTTCACTTTTTTTGAAGTGAAAGACACCAGAATTTCTCTACGGCTCCAGAAGTTTTTATTACAGTATTGCCTGTACTATATCTTAAAAGTTTGCTCACAATATTATCTACAACAGAAAGATGGAAGAAATCTTTTTTTTTCCTCTGCATGTGACTCAGCTGAGCTTAACTTTTTCAGGCATGGACAAACAAAGCCTAAAAACCACTTTTAACGATACCCAAAACCACTACACCGTCCAGCAGCAACAACAACAAAAAACTAGCTACAAATTACACCAAACATGCTACACACATGCTCACACATCCCCACACATCACAATACGCTATCATTTCTCAGCTGGAAACTCACGGCGGGTCTAGTTCATAATTAAGTTTCTGTTGTTCTTTTCTAGCTGTTTAATTAAAACTCCTTTAAGCACAGTCTGTCTTTACTAAGACTCCTGTCAAATCAAAATTCTTCCTCTGCTTCACTGCTCGTGTGCACCCCACTCAGCACCGACTAAGAAACTGTACAGAATATAAAACCACAATTTGAATCTCAAGAGCTGTTGTTACACTCTCCTGGGTTAAAAGGCTAATAATATTTACTTCACCAAAGCAGTGTACGCAACATCGATGCTCGAAATACACCTAAAGTGTTTAGCGATAAAGTACTTTCCAAAGGTATTTCTAGGTTACTAACAATAAAAATTGGAATAAATCCCTTGCATCCAAAATTTCTGCTTGGTCAGCTGATAAAAACCTAGAGCAAATGAAATGCAGAATTAGCCCTACTGGCATAGAAAAACGCCTTATGACCTCATTAAAAACCAGTGCAGTGTTGAAAAGATATGTTTTACCATGAAGGTGAAAATAAATGCACCTCAAAAAAGTTTACCCTTAACGAAAATAATTTCAAGAAGTTGATTTGAAAACTTGCAAGTTCAGAATGTGACTCAACTATAATATCTTCAATTCTGTGTTTTAGGGACATCCACTGTATTAATTCCTGTATTTCTATTCCCAAATAAAGGATGCATACGTGTGCATGTGTATAAAAATATATAAACACACATATACAAACAAACATGCAAGCTTCTCCCCCAGCCCCAGAAGTAATTTAATATACAGGTCTGTGTCATTTTTAATAGCACCATCTTACCATCAGTACAATCTAATATCCTGTAATGGTATTCCCCAACTATTTATAGAGATAGAATACATCATACATTACAGACACACATTCCCAATCTAGGGTTGTAAGAAGAATCCTACATAATTTTAAATTAAGTCCTAATGTAATTATAATCATTTTTGTTTTCATATTCAATTGCAGGTAGCACTTAGTTATTTACATGAATTTTCCTAAGAGGCATTCCCACAGAGATTTCCATATTAGATGTACTGCATAATAACTGAACATGCAGCTAGAGAAAAGAGTATGTTATCCATACAGCTCCAAAGTTTGCCATTATTCAGGTTAGACAGCTCTGTAAAACCGCTAACTGCCCATATTGTGCTTCTAAACTTTATCAGTACGAAGGGAAAGCAAATATGCTTCACTTAATACAGGAATACAACTGCATAGGTACTTTTTTTCCCTGAGGCTCTGCCATTTCAGCTTACATTTCTTATGTATGCTATTTTACATCAGAAAACGCCAGGGTAATCTGATGATTCTTGGCCTTTCTTTCCTAGATGGTGTTCAACAAGGAACAGTTAAAAAATACTGGGAGCCATTTACATTCAGAAAGCGCAGGGCAGAACTGCTCCCTAACTTTCCAGCACTTCTGGAGGTCACTTTTCTTCATATCAAAGGCAGGCACTTGTTTCTAATAAGTTAACAACTCTCCTGAGAAACGTGGGTGGCTGGTATTTCATTGTTTCATAAATATTTTTATACTGGTAACACCATTCAACTTAAAACAGATTTCAAGAGGAGAAAAATCACGACCAGGATTATGTTCAGCAGAGGCAGCAGCGCAAACTTTTTTTTAACTTGGTGAATATAAGAGATATTTCCCCCCCCTCCTCCTCCTCTCGCTTTATATCTCCTAGCTGGTTTTGTTTGGCTGTGTGAAGGGGGGGCCGCTTTGTTTTAATTTGGGTACAAAAGCCGCACTGTATAACTTTTCCCTCCCCCTTGGAAGTGTACTTCCTTTGAAAGCGCTCCTCTGCGAACAAAGGCTGCCACCGGCCCTCCGCACTAGCGCCGGGGACAGCTGTGCGATAGAGCTCTTCAAAACCTCGCCGAGAAATGGAAAAAAAAAAAAACAACCTCTGCGGTTCCTACCGAAAGGAAGTTTTCCAGGGACAAGCTCCTCGGTGTTGCTGCAACTGCGACTTTGTCTTTTTTGGATACAATGTTTCTGCTGACTCCCGAAAATTTTCCACTTGAATGTGCAATTAACCAGCAGCGGCGGCGGCAGCAGCAGCAGCAGCAGCTCTGGAGAAGGAGAAGAAGCAGCGAAAAGGGACATTCCTTCTTTCATCTTTTAAGAGGAAAATAAAAAGAGGGAAAGGGAGGCGAAACTCGGCGGCCAGCGGGAGCTCCGCGCCAAGGCCCGGGGATGGCTCCGGAGGGCTGCGAGCCTATGCGCCCAGCGCGGGGCTGCTGCCGGCTCGCGGGAAAAAAATGTGAAAAATGCCAAGGATCGGTGCGTGCGTGTGCGAGAGGGAGAGAGAGAGAGTCTTCTGTGTGCGTGTGTTGTGTGTGTGTGTGTGTGCGCGGTGTGTGCGCGCCCGGCTGCCGAGCGGTGACTCAGGCAACTAAGTGCGAGCGGCGGCGCGGGGGAGCGGAGCGGGGCGGGCGGGCGGGCGGCAGCCGCCTGTTGCAGCTCCGGCCGCGGCCCCGCAGCGGCAGGAACTCCGCGGGAAACAACTTCTCCCCCCCTCTCCGCCCCCGCCGCGGCCCCCAGTCCCGCCTGCCCCCGGCACCTGCGGGGCCCCTCGGGCCGACCCCCGGGGCCGGGACCGTCCCCCCCGCCCCGCCGCACAAAGCGCGCCCGCGGGCCCCTCTCTTACCTCCGCGCCGCGGCCCCCTCCGCGCACCGCCAGCGCGCCGCGCTCCGACGGCAAACTTCGCCCGCCGCCCCCCGGGCCGCCCCGGCTATTTATGGCCCCGCGCCTATTTTTAATCCGCCGCTCGGGCTATTTATACCGCGGCCGTAGGTTGCCGCGGGCCGGCGGACGGAGCCCTTCGGAGGATGAGTTTGCTGCCCGGCCGGCGGCGGGGCGGGCCGGGCTCCCGGCCGGGCTGCGCGGCGCCAGCGATGCGAGGAATGCGCGGAATGAGGGGAGGAATGAAATGAACGCGGGAGCGGGGCGGCCGCGGGGCGGAGCGCGGCCCGCCGCCCCCTGCGGCCGCGGGCGGGCGGGCGGGGCGGCGGGCGGGGCCTCCGCGCCGCGCTGACCTCATAGGGGAGCCCGCGGGAGGGGGCCCCGCGGCCACGGAGCGGGGACGGTGTGCAGGACCGGGACCGGGACCGGGACCGGGACCGGGACCGGGACCGGGACCGGGACCGGGACCGGGACCGCGCTCCGGGGTGGCTGCCCGAGCTGCGTAGCGGGGTCCCGCGGCGGGGTCTGCAGCGCCTTGCGACGGACCGGCAGCGGGGTCCGCAACAGGGCGTGAGATGCTTTGCAGCGGAGTTGCGGCAGTAGGGGTCTGCGATGGGCCACGGCATCCAGCTGGGCACTGGACGCTGCTGGATCGTGAGGCTCCCCTGGGAAGCCCAGCGTTCCCACGCTCGCACATCCAACCCCTTGGGTGCTCCGGCAAAGCCCTGTGCAAACGCCTACCAGTCCTTAGGAAACGCAGATGTGTGCCCAGAAGGCCACTGCGGCACCCCAGGGCCCAAGGGAGCTCTGGGGCATGGGATGAGCAGGAAAGCTTTGTGTACATTACACATCAAATCGACATACACATAGCATGGTCCAGGGGTCCACACTCTTCACCCTGAATCCAGATCATGACCTTTCTCACAAAACTGTCCCCTGCTTCAGATTTCACAATGCCAGTTTTGCACCACTCCAGTTGTGAGCTGAAGTGCCTTCGGACTGTCTTTGCCCTTCTTGTACTGGCACAACCCATCTCCCAGAAGCGCTCCCCAAGCAGCATCACAAGGCACATCTCCTTCAGTTAACAATCCGCTACCTTATGGAAATATTGTCAGGGCAGGCACAGCTGTTGTGCTTGTGAAAATTCGTATTTGCATAAGCAAAATGGATAACTGGACACCTTGGTGCCTGTTTGTGAAATAAATTGCCTATTTTGATGTGCAAACACACATTTCTATCCACCTTTGAAAGTTTGCCCAGCAGGGCTGTCGCTTCTGGAGATGTCAGGAAAATCACGTTACAACCTCAGAAGAACCACATGTCGGTGTCATCAGACAGCATTAACATGCTCACACCGCGTGTGAGTTCATGATATGCTGGTGGAATTCACAATAAATGCCCTGTATATTACTTTGTGTGACATTAGAGAGAGGATGCTGAGCATGTCATTCTGCGAATACCAGAAACAAGCTCACCCTGGTGCTTTCCTGGTGCCACTCTTGTAAGACAGCTATGCTGTTAACAGAAATCGTTGTAGCCTGTGACTGACCCAAGAGCCTCTTGAAAACGAACCACTTAAAGCTCACACTGCAGTTTACACAGAGGCTGCAAGTTTGTGGGCCAGGCACAGAGTGTGTGTGACAGGCAGTGTGAGCAGATGCAGGGTTCCCACTGGTCACACACATGACATGGACTGAAATCTGCTAAAACTCAACCCTACAGAAAAAGTCTGCGAGAAGCAACAATATCAAACAAAGCCAAAGTTTGATCAGGTCTTGGTCAAAGGGTTGCGAAAATGCAAAAATGAACATATTTTAGGATATTTTTTTCCCCCACACCATTCCACACTGGCTGAAAAATTTCTTCCTCAAAGTAGGTTAAAGGAACCCCTTTCACACATGCATAATTTCTTTTCTCTTCCACTCTTTCTTTCCAAATAGCTCTAGTAATATTGTCTAATAAGTGTCTGAGTGCCTGCACAATTTGTAAAATTCAATCACTTTGCAGATGTCTACACAAAAGCCATAGTCTCTTGAGTGCACTTAAAGTTTACCGACTCTTTTCCAAAGCTGGAAGAGAAAAATGGGAAAAAACATTGCCCCCTAACATCTATACCATAGATTTTTTAGTCACTAGGCTTAAACTTATTCCACTATGGTCACTGCATGCACAGAAATGTGAAATGTCTTTAAATGAATGTGATTTTTTTTTTCCTTAAGGCTTGCAGAGAAAGTACGAAGAATACTGATTCTAACTTCTATGCCTGTGCAGGGCCCAAAAGGTATCATAGCTCTGCACATGTGGAGGGAGAGTAGCAAATCTTTGGAGAATAGATAAATAGAGTTTGTAAACTTCTTACCTAGAGCAGTTCTCACAAATGGAAGTGATGAAAATTTTGTAGGATTATGCTCTCCTAGTGGAAAAGAAAAAAAAGAGGATTGTTTCTGCAGTCATCATTGTGGATGAACACAAATCAGACTCAAACCAGGTTGCAGCTGTTTGCCTCTATCTGCAGACAGACAGTTCAGTAGTTCTTTTGCTATTCAGAACTTTCTAGAAGAATAATTGAATTTACCTGATACCTGCATATTTTGCTGTTAACTGCTAGCAGCAGGGGAGGCTCACAAAATTCAGACTGTTTCTCAGGTTCTGAAACTTTGTACAGTGGTGTTCTTCACAGGAAGAAATGCTCCCTGTGCATCTGTAGAAGAAATGCAAAAACAAATGCCCGGGGAGGACTGAAGGTCTTCCATCAGCACAGTGTAAAAGTTCATCCACAATCCACAGTTTTCAGCTCAAGGCTGAGTCCTGACAATATCTTGCTCACAAGCAACTGTACGTACCAATTAAACTACCAAAACCGAGGCCAATGTGAACGGCAAACTAGTGTGGTGACTAAACCATGGCCCTTGCTGAGCACAGAGCTGTGGGCCAGAGAGCTCCAGACAAAACCAATATCCTCTGAACACTGAGGTAGGGAAACTCCATCAAGTATTTCTTGCCTCTTGGCTCATATATCCTGTAGGTTGTCATGTCATGCCATGGCATGCCATACCTTATTAGCAGTCACTTAAAAAAAAATACATGCCTGGAATCCCCATGAAGTTCTGGCAGGAAAAAATGGTGTGCTGGGGAGAGAGAGAGGTCTGTGCATTTCGACATGGGGTAAAGATGAGGAAAAACAGAATCACTGTCATCCAGCCTGTGAGTCCAGCCACTGCCTCCATGCAAGGATAGGCTTTGGAGGCCCTGTGGATAAAGCAGGAAGGTACATTCACAGACAGAAATTTCTCTGATGAATTGCCTGCCCTCTGTTTATTGATGAATGGCTTCTCCAGGCACACAGGTGCGCAGAGAACTACAAAAGCTGAAGAAAACAAAGGGACATTGGGACAAGCCCAGACAGGGGCATTTCCTGGGGACAAATGCTTATCTCAGCTAGAAAGGAGACATACAAGTGGGGAATATGGGAAAATGTGTTAAGAAAGAGAAAGAATGAGATTCAAGCGATGGATGCTGATAAAAAGACTTGGGGGGGGGGAGAGATTGGGAAAGAGGAGAGACAGAAATGAGGAGAGAATGGAAAGTGAAGGAAATTTTTGAGATTACAGAAAGAAGGCAGGAAAAATGAAAAGAAAGTTTAAAAAGGGTGATAGAAATGGAGAAGGGAGAAAGAAAAAGAATTGGTGGGGCAGAAAGAACAGCTGAAGAGAAATGAGCTGGGAGAACAAGGGAGACCGTAGTTTAGGAGAAGAAAAATAAGAAGTAGTAGAAACAGGAGGCGGCAGTGAGGAAAGGGAATTAGCTTAACCACAAAAGGAGTAAGGTAAGGAAGGATAGAAAGAGCAAGCAAAAGAACACAATTAGAGAATAAAGGTCTGTAGTACTATCAAGTCTTGATTTGTCAGTGAAATACTCTTTTGAGTGCAAGTCCTATTGAGACTGGTGTGCAGGCAAGTGTGAACATACTTAAGATGGAGGCTGGACTGTGGTTTACATATAGGAACCACTTTTGTCTTCGTTAATGTGACCACTGATAGCAGGGGGCATTAGGTACAGGGCACATAACTTACATGTTTTATCCCAGCCTCCCAAAACCAGATGACGCTTTTAAGTCCCTAAGAGATGAAAAAGTACCCAAAGACACAGGGTTAACAGAATTCCTCACAAACTCTAGGAATAAGTAAACTCTCTGTCCAGAGAGTACTGGCAGATGAAAACAAGATGGTCTTCTGAAATTCTAGATCCAGAGCCCCATTTTGGACTTGGAATGAACCTCAAAGCTCGACAACACTTGGAATCGGCGTTTTTGTTACAAACACTGAA